CCCAATGAGTTTATATCCATGCTCAGGTGGATCGCAGAAAGTAACCGACTATGACTAGTAATAATCAGATACATAGAGATTAGAGACACACGTGCAAACATCTAAGCGTTAGTAGCACTAAAAATGTGTTTTCTGTGTGAAACAGTATATTTTAAAATGAAATGGAGAGCTTTTTTAAAGGTTAAAACCTCATAGCCAGGTGTGGTGGCGCACGCCTTTAATCCCAGCACTTGGGAGGCAGAGGCAGGCAGATCTCTTTGAGTTCAAGGCCAGCCTGGTCTACATAGCGAGTTCCAGGACAGCTGGGGCTACAAAGAGACCCTGTCTCAAAAAAGACCAAAAACAAACAAACAAACAAACAAAAACAAAAAAAACCTCATTCAATTTTATGTCTTATAGGGTTATGCTGAGTTCAATACTGTATAACTGTATTAATTCAACTGTGAACCTACAAACTTACAGCCAATACTGAAAGAGATGCATCTTTGCTCTGGAAGTTGTTATTGATATGTTAATGCTGTAATGAAATGCTTCTTCTAATCATGTGGTTATTAAATAAATAATTTTTTTAAATTTATGTTTCAGTTATGATCATTTGGGGGGGGTTCTTTTTGAGACAGGGTCTCCCTGTAGTCCCAGCTGACCTGGAACTCACTACATAGACCAGGCTGGCCTTGAACTCAGAGATCCACCTGCCTCTGCCTCCCAAGTGCTGGGACTAACAGTGTGTGCCACCATGCCCAGCATGATCATTCTTTTTTTTATGTGTATGAGTGTATTGCCTGGTGTGTGTAAGTGTACCCGTGTTGTGCAATACACACAGAGGACAGAAGAGGGTGTCAAATCCCCTGGAACTAGAGTTATGGACAGTTGTTAGCTGCCATGTGGGTGCTGGGAATTGAAACCAGGTCTTTTGCAAGAACAACCAATGTTCTTAACCACTGAGTCATCTTTCCAGCCCCCAGTAATGATACATTTTTAAAAAATATTTTATTATTTTTATTTTATGTGTATGAGTGTATTGCCTGCATGCATATAAGTGCACCTGTGTCCCACAATGACTGCAGAGGTCAAAAGAGGGCATCGGATCCCCTGGAACTAAAGCTATGGACTGTTGTTAGCCACCATGTGGGTGCTTGGAATTGAACCCAAGTCCTCTGTAAGAGAAGAGCAGTCAGTGCTCTTATCCACTGAGCCATCTCTCCAACTTCAGTAATGATAAATTGTATACTGCATGTATTCTACTACAATAAACTAAATACTACATGTATATAATTGAAAATATAATCTACATTAGCAAAGCTTCTGAAATTGAAAAATGTATTGTGTGTGCTATGGCACACGTTTGGAGGTCAGAGGACAATTCTGCAGTCATCTCTCTTCTTCACCTTTATGTGTATTCCAGGGATCAAACTCAGGTTGCCAGGTTTGAGCAGCAAGCACCTTTACCCACTGAGCCATCTTGCCAGACCTAGTAAAGCTTCTTGAAGGAGAAGAACCTTAGTTATTTTAAGGAAGTTATGATTATTCTTACATATCGGGTTGTTTTTAAATTTCATTGCAGTACTTCTCCAATTCAGCATACCAGGATCACGAGGTTATTTTGCAGTAAGAATGAGATGCTAGAGATAATGACACTAATGAGATCACAGTGCTAACTATCCAGACCAGCAGTTCTCCAAATGTGATCTGAGGACACCAGGGGTTCCTGAGTCCCTCAGGGATGCCCAGAAGTCCTCCCTTCACCTTCTTCTAGTGTAAAGTCTGCTTTTCTTTCTGTATAATTTTTCACAATATACAATATACTGCAGTAGACCAAATGCAGAAGCAGGTACAAAGATTGAGCTGGTTTCTCTTTAAACTGAACATCAGATTTTCAAAAGCTTTTTCCAACTAAAATTTTTGGAAAGTTTTGTTTTGTTTTTTTTTTTTTTTAATTTTAGGTATGAGGTTTTTGCCTGTGTTTAGTGTGCCATCTGTGTGCAATGCCCACAGAGGCCAGAAGAGGGCATCAGATCCCCCAGAACTAGATTTCCAGATAGTTGTTGGCTGCTATGTGAGTGCTGGGAACCAAACCCAGGTCAAGAACAGCAAGTGCTCTTTCCAGCCCAAAAACTTTATTTTTAATAAATGGTGGCATTTATCGTAACATGCAACAGGCTGTTTGCTTGCTTGCTTACTTGTTTTTGGAGAGAAGATCTCATAGCCTGGTCTGGAACTTACTGTGTAACCCAGACTGGCCTTGAATTTGCAATCCTCCTGCCTTTGTCTCTCAAGTGCTGTTAATACAGGCATGCACCTACTATACCCAATTTGCAAGAGATTTGTTTTAGGTTTTAAATAAGCAAATATTTTTAAAACTTCTCAGCTTTACTGGCAGAAGAAGACAGTAAGCAGGAATCTGAACCCAATCTATAAACTACATAAACAAAGCTTGTTGGGGTCCTCAGTAATTAAAAATATTTCACTTATTTAATCTTTATTTTTGCCTACACGTACAGAAGTGCATCCCTGTTGTGCATAGTCCGTGGAGGCCAGAAGAGGGCGCTGGATTCCCTGGAACTGGAGGTAAGGATGGTTGTTTGCTAACATGCTGGTGCTGATAACTGAACCTAGATCATCTGCAAGAGCAGCAAGTGCTTTTAACCACCAAGCCATTTCTCCAGCCCCAAACTTTTTTTGCTATTGTTAAGACAGGGTCTCCCTGCCCAGCAGGCCTGGCACTCACTATATAGACCAGGCTGACCTCGATCTTATAGAGATCTGCCTGCATCCCTCTGCTTCCCAAGTGCTGGGATTAAAGGCCATGTCCAGGAAAGACCTCTAGAGCACTTAATGTTTGTATGCTAATCACTAATAACAAAAGAGAAACCAGAAGCTATGCCAGCACAAGCATATGCAGGACTGAAGGAATCTGACAGGTGTCAATCTAAACTGCCACTCCAGGTCCCAAGTCTTCCAACTAGTTATTCCCAAAATGCTATGGGCTAAGGGAAGTAGAGGGGGCAGTCAGAGCGGCCAGTCCCCACTTCTTCCAGGTTTCTGTTTAAAGAAGCTTTAAGAGGTGATTTATAAACATACAGCCTAGTTCCAGAAAGAACTGTCCACAGAGGGAACAGCAACTAAAACCTACCAAGTAGGTACTCTAGTTCATACAACCACCAGTAAGAAGTGGAGTTTCCCAGAAGAATTTCAGCCTACAGTCTGAGGGACTGTGAGAACTGGCATCCCAAAAAGAAGAGGTAAGCAGTTCAGAGGTGCAATGCAGTGGCAAGAGTGCTGTATGCAGCATCTGGAGCTCTAGTATCTGGCCCCAGCTCGGCCTCATCTCAGTGTCCTTGAGTGACACCAGCCTCTACTCATACCTCAGCCTCCCTATCTAAAAATGCAGCGCACTAGACTAAATGACCAGTATGTGTTTCATAAGAAGGACTCAGTGTTTTTGTATCCCAGATGTCTTGCACCGTTCAACATAAATTATCACTTTGTGATAATAATAAACTGAATCCGAGGACTCTTCCAATTCAGACATTCTAGGATTTTCTAAAATATGTCACAAGATGTACCAAAGGGAAAGATTCCAGAATAGTTTCCCAAAAGCCTGAACTCTGTATTGTTTATAGAGAGAGAGTACTGCCAGCCCAACTCATTTCTCAACATTGTCATCAAACTAAAGACTGATGGTGCCCATAGATCTAGGTCACTGGGAACCACAGGTTGCTATAAATGGATCTAAAACCAACTAGATTCTTAGCAGGTGTCTTCGGAGAGCCAGAGTGCCCAAGTTAAGAGCATTCAGGAGACATTTATATATATATACATATTTGGGGGGAGGGGTCTTTTTGAAACAGGGTTTCCCTGTAGCCCCAGCTGGCCTGGAGCTCACTATGTAGGCCTTGAACTCACAGAGATCTGCCTGCCTCTGCCTCTCAAGTGCTGGGACTCAGGCATGTGCCACCCCGCCTGGCTTTTTATATATTTTTTATTTATTATTTTTATTTTATGTGTATGAGTGTATTGCCTGCATGTATGTGAGTGCACCTGTGTCATGTAGTGCCTCAGAGGTCAGAAGAGGGCTTCAGATTCCCCTGGAACTGGAGTTAAGAACAGTTCATAACGCCATGTGGGTGCTGGTAATCGAACCCAGAGTCCTCTGCAAGAGCAGTCAGTGCTCTTAACTGCTAAGCCATTTATCCAGCCCCTCAGGAGACATTTTAAAGAAAGGGTAACTTTTGGAATTACTTACCCCCAAATGTATAGGATCTTGGTGAGCCACTGTATTCAATGATTTGTAGTTTAGCCTTTGGAAAATAGTTCACACAGCAGCTTCCTAATCGCTGTAATTAATGAAAGAGCACTCAAGTTAATCTCTTATCTGTCTAAGCAAACATTTGCACTCAAGAGATTTGCAAATGTAAATAAGAACTTTGTTTAATTGAAAAGATTATTAGATGTAGTTTTTTCTCACTAATAGTATACAAATTTCCAAGGTTATATAAGCCTCACATTTCCAACAATGGGGAAAAGTACACCATAATGTTATCTATACATCTATATTTTTTTGTAGCCCAGGCTGGCCTCAAACTCACTAAGTAGCCAAGGATGACCTTGAATTTCTAATCCCCCTGCCTCTACCTCCTGAGTGCTGGGATTACAGACATGTGCCATCATATATGGTTTATGCAGTGCTGGGGTTCCAACCCAACTGGGCTACATCCTCATCCATTATATATCTATTTAAAATATGCAAAATGGGGGTTGGAGCAGTGACTCAGGGGTTAAGAACAATTGCTGTTCTTCCAGAGAACCTAGGTTTGATTCCCAGCACCCACATGGTAGCTCTGTTGCCCTCGTCTGGCCTTCATGGGCACTATACACATACCAGCAATCAAAATACTTGGACAAATAAAAATATAAAAATCATTAAAAAAATAAAATATGCAAAATGAAACACATTTAATTGTACTGAGCATTTTGCTTTTACTCATAGAATAATTCTTCTGTTCATCAAAACCCTTCAGAGCAGAATGTTCACTTCAGAGTTTACCGTTTTATGAAAAAGGTAACTTCTGTTTTAAAATATTTTATTATTTATTTTATGTGTATGAGTATATTGCCTGCATGTATATAAATGCACCTGAATCATGCAATGCCCACAGAGGTCAAAAGAGGACGTCGGATCCCCTGGAACTGGAGTTATAGTTATTAGCTGCCATGCAGATGCTGGGAACCTATCTCTGGTCCTCTGAAAGGGCAGCCAGTACTCCTAATGATAGAATGTGTGAATTATAGGAGAGCCATAAGCCTCATTGGGGAAGCAATAAAACCATAAATCCCTTAAAGTGGCCAACTGGCCCTAAACTGGCAGGCTGACTCTTCTCAAACCTTATCAACTGGTTACTCCCAGGACTGAAAGAGACTGAGGAGACAACCTGTTTCCTTTAGTGTCCTAGACTGTTTACCTGCCCTGCCTGAGAAAATAATCTTGGGAGGAAGACTCTCAATCATCCAAGGACACCAGACCTGGCACTGAGTAAACTCCTGCTGCTGTTGCAGATGCCTTCTTCCTGCAGAAAGACTTCTGCCCTTCACAGTGATACCTTGAATAAAGAACATTCCTTGCCTGTTGCAGATCTGGCTCTGGCTCTTATTTCTAAACTCTAAACTCCTTCCCTTTTCTCTCTCCTAAGTCTAACACTTAACCACTGAGTCATCTCTCCAACTTTCCTGTTTTAAGTAAGTATAGATTATAGGACTTGAGATGGAAAACCTTTTCAAAATTATCCCTTATTTAGAGAGCTAGAGAATGAGTTGGGTGTGGTGACACACACTTTTAATCCCAGCACTCTGGAGGCAGAGGCAGGTGGATTTCTGTGAGATTGAGGCCAGCCTGGTCTATATAGAGACTTCTAGGACAGCTGGAGCTATAGGGAGACCCTGTCTCAAAAAGGAAAAAAAAAAAAGAAGAAGAAATTTTAAGTAGGTATCCCTCTTGAGTTTGAATCTATTATTTCCTTTACAAATATCTACACAGAAGCAGGTTTAACCTCTCTTTTTTTTGGGGGGGGGCTGTTTTTGAGACAGGGTCTCCCTGTAGCCCCAGCTGTCCTGGAGCTCACTATGTAGACCAAGCTGGCCTTGAACTCACAGAGATCCACCTGCCTCTGCCTCCCAAGTACTGGGATTAAAGGCATGCACCACCACACCTGGCTTAACCTCTCTTTTTTAAGGGTTCAACTTAATTCTACTGGTTTTATTCTGAGAACCAAGCATAACACAGAATAGTCAAATTTGAACATTTGATCAAGTGCATTAGTATTTGATTAAGTGAATTAGACTGGACTGGGTCTGAAGTACAGTGCTCCTGTAACCTAGGAAAAGTTGCTAAACTTCTGTAAACTTCCACTTCCTATGTGCAAAATGGGATGGTAATACTATCATTTGTTCTATGAAGATTAAAAGTGACATTTAAAATGTGTCAGAAAGTTTTGTAAGTGCATCATATTTACTAACGCATTTAATCTGCTCCACAAGCCTCTGAAATAGTTACTATAGCCACTTTGCAGATGAGAAAAGTGAGATACAGAGATGTGAACAACCCACTCTTGTTGACACTGTAAACAAGTGTCAGGGCTGAAACTTGAATCTAGGCAGTACTTCTGCAGAGGCCCTGCTCTTGACCAGGATACCATGCTGCACCTTCAAAAGCTAGTGCAGAAAAACCCTCCAGTCCAACCTGCCAAACTGTTAAGTGATGGCTGCTAGCAGAATTGCAATATTAACAGTGATAATTCCAGAACCCGCATATTTACTAGTATTCCTCATATTAAGCATGCGCAAGACACACACACAGGATATACAAACGGAGTATGGAAGATGTTAAACTGCAGTCATTTATGTCCCCTGACTAGAGCAATGGATCACAATGAGGCTAAAAATTCATTATGTTGAAGCTGGAGAGACGGCTCAGTGGTTAAGAACACTGACTGCTCTTGCAGAGGACCCGGGTTCGACTCCCAGCACCCATATGGCGGCTAAGAACAGTCCTTAACCCCAGTTCCACGGGAATCCAATGCCTCCTTCTGAGCTCCATGGCATTGCACCATGACATGGGTGCACTCACTTACATTCAGGCAATACACTCATACACATAAAATAAAAATAAGGGGCCAGGTCTGGTGGCGCATGCCTTTAATCCCAGCACTTGGGAGGCAGAGGCAGGCGGATCTCGGTGAGTTCAAGGCCAGCCTGGTCTACATAGTGAGTTCCAGGACAGCTGGGGCTACAGGGAGACCCTGTCTCAGAAAGACCAAAATAATAATGGTAATAATAATAATAATAAATAAAAATAATAAAATTTGGGGACTGGAGAGATGGCTCAGTGGTTAAGAACACTGACTGTTGTTGCAGAAGACCTGGGTTTGAATCCCAGAACTCACATGGCAGCTAACAACTGTCTGTAACTCCAGTTTCAGGGCATCTGACAGTCTCTTCTGTCTTCTGAGGGCATTGCACGACACAGGTGCACTTACGTACATGCAGACAATACATGCATACACATAAAATAAAAATAATAAAATATAAAAATATAATAAAAATTTAAAAATTCACTATGTTACACAGCCAGGCAATTAAAATATTTGAGGCCAAATTATATGTACTTGGTTGATAGTTATGCTGCTGTTATTTATCATGAGTAGACTAACCCAAGAAAGGAAAATACTACTTAAG